AATTTTTAGCTATGTACAAATAGCTTACCCTACTGTTACATCTCACTAAAATTATATGCAATACACTTACCAGTGCTATGTTATGAAGTGGATTTACTGGTTTTTGTGGTTTCCTTGCACTCAATACTTGGCGATCCATTTCAGCTCGCTTACAAGGTGTACTGTATAAAAACAAGCCATGCATGGCACAGTCCCAGTTAGTTATCGAATTTAAGATATATAGTTTTGTTTATAGTAATATAGCTGGAATATAACCATGTAAGGAATACGAGTTTTTTAACATTAAAATGATTGACATTTGTATCTGATCGTCAAACAAGTACTTGTCCACATTGAGAGATATTGCTCTGGAACAGCATTCAAAATAAGCCATTTTGAATACATGTATATATATAACATGATGTATAACGAATATATAAAATTATAATCAGTCAAAGCATTTAAGAGATATGGCTCTAGAAGCCCAATCATTAAAACAAAATGACCACCAGTCAGCCATTTTGAATCCAATCTGAAAAATAAAATGACTTGCATCAGGAACCCGTAATGTCTAATGTATGTACCAAGTTTGAATGAAATGCATCCATAATGATTTTTATGATTTGTTAGTACAAAAATGGCCGCCATTCGGCCATCTTGAATCAGATCGTGAAACAAATTGACGTGCAAATGTAGAATATCATGTATGATGTATGTGTGAAGTTTGATTGTGATTAGTCCAGGCATTTTCAAGATACAGGTTCGGACACGCGCATGGACGTCAAAACACAAGTCCCCGTTTTCGGACTGTGTCCGAACGGGACTAAAAAATGTAAACACTAGTACTATGGATAAAGCCATATACATGTATGTATCAGCATTTAAAAAAAAATAGCGATAGAAAGATACTTTGTACAAACTAATTGGCCACTTGTCAGCCATCTTAAATAAAATCTGTAAAATGAAATGTCTGAAATGATGTTGGCTGGTGCATACGAATTATGTGATATATTGTCTTTGTACCAGCTTTGAACACAATTGGCCCCTGCATGTCAGTCACAGATATAGTGGCATAACTGAATTGGATCAAAAAAATAAAATAAAATGTGTATCTGCAACCCAGATAACTAAAAAAATAAACTAAAAACTATGTGTGCATTTGATATACCATTGTGTCTTTGAACATACAACGGGCAAGACATGGACAAGAAATGAAAATTAAACCAACATGACCGCCAATTAGCCAGTTTGAATCAACTACCACACCGGCTGACTTGCGTTCAGTAACCAATCATGCGTAATAGCTACAAAAATTTTTAATAAAATGTGCCAAAGAATTACTTGAAAAATAACTTTGGACAAAAACGGCTGTCAGTGCCTGTCGGTTACAGAGAAAACCACTGTTTTATCAGTAAGATTGCTTTGGATGTTGTAAGATTAGAACAACTGATTACCAACTTTGTAAGTACCGACAGACTTTATTTTTATGTGTAAATATGTGAAGACTGTTGAGAAAGTCTGTCAATATGTAAGGCTGCTGCACGTACACTAATTGCTCAGGGTCTTCATGTACAGAGAAGGCTGGCATATCAACATCATTGATACCAATACTAACACCACCACGTTGAGGAATCTGAAAAATATTATGTACAGTAAGTATCACAATGACAGAATGCAGCCGAGTTGACAGTCCACTAAGCTCAAAATTACAGGGCAAGCCTAACATAGACTGCATGTATCTACATACATACTGTAGTCTTACACAAGTCATACACAAGAAATACAAGCATGCTGTTTTCATTAGAGAACTGATCAATAGTGAATTAGATGTTGAATTTATGGTTCTGTAAGCAAATAGTTGAAGGTGAAAGAATGACAACCACTGATAGTAGATTCATTTTTACCTTGCATTTATTCCATTTACCAGCTGTCTGTGTGTTTTCTTTAGCTACCTCAACTCTTGGGGCTAACTGTGTCCATTCACCAGTGGCTGGCAGCAATGCATTGCTACATGCACCATCTTCATCACCATACACTTTAACAGGGGCAGAGTTGCTTTGTTGTAAGACTGCAGTTGTACCAGGCAGTCCTCTGGATTTGGCTAAAAGAGCAAGAAGACATGATGTTGATTCAACTGCAAATGAGAATGTGTGACTACTATAGTCATTGATATATGGCTGTGAGATGGGTATCATCTGCAGTATGTTGCCCTACAACTTGTATATATATCTGAATTTGTATTGTGAGAAGCACTTAATAATCACACCTAGCGGAAAAAATAAAATAAATTAGTTAGCTATATACACTGTAGCAATGCTGACTTGTTGAGTTATGGACTTCGAGTTACCAAAACATTGAAATACAAAATTGACCATGCCAACCATGTTCAATTAACTAAAACAGGAAATACACAATGTTTGAGTTACCAAACGTGGACGTTCAAAAAAACTAACAATAATGTATATTGCCTGTAACTCTAAGTTCAGTTAACTGATAATTGAACATAAAGTTACAATTTGGCAGTGGTTTCTAAAATATGGGCGTTTTTTATTTTTATTTTTGTAACTCAACATTTTTATAACTCCATGTTTCTGTTATCTCCCCCAGTCAGTTGAAATGTTGTTTACTTTTCAACTTACTTTCCTAGTATCATAAAGACTATGTTCTCCCCAGTATACAGACAGCGTGTTGGTGGTGTCACCATGCTGCTCTGAGAGACCAAGGTTGTCTTACACTGATACGCTTAATATGCGACTGCGGAAAACATTAAAGGAAAGTAATGGAAGTTCCATGCAACGTCTTTTGGGGGAAGGGACCACTATGCAAATAGATGTTTGGCATCCGAGTCGTCACATGATCAATATCTCTTTCTATGCTGTGAATGAATGAGTGGTCGAAGCAGCAATCGACTTTGTGTATGTTTGTGTATGTTGTACCAAGTTTAAACAAAATCCATCCATAAATGCTTGATTTTGGTGATTTTTTTTTGCATAAAAATGGCCGCCATTTGGCCATCTTGAATCAGATCTTCAAACAAATTGACGTCAGTGTTCTCCACAAAGGGTTTTAGGGCCCGATCATCAAGTTTTACGACCGCCTAGTTACTCTCAACACCCGGCCACCAACGTACATCCAGCTGAAATTATTTGTAAAACGTTTGCATTGTTCTTCCCAGGCCTAAACAAAAGAGTAGTTGCCCAACCCTTTATTTTTCTATTGTTTCAAAAGTCCAAACATAAACAATGACCACTGGAAGTCTGCAAGCAGTTATCAAGTGTATTCATGGCAATGTGTCAATCGCCTGAATTCATTGTCGCCCAACATTGTTGCCACTTGCGCAACTACAGTGGTTTCAATTTCAGTGTTCTCCCCAGGCCTTTCAAGCACTGCGGGCCCGCGTCGCTTAGACAAACAGCCGCGTCGCTTTTGTTTCGCCCGCGATCCATGAAATCCTGCTCGCGATGCTTATTCACATTGTATTGTTTACAAGTGTCAGCCTCGTCTAGCACATCTTTAAAACAATAACATGTATTGATCGAAAGGTAATCCCGCTTTTGTACATAGTTAGCCTTACAAAAACAGTGATAAAAACGGAAGTCTACAAGAAGTTACCAAGTCTATCAAGGGTGCGGAGCTGGAAAACCCC